CGTCACGGCGCCGCCCGCGGACCAATCAAAGAGCACCTCCCAGCCTACGAGCGGAAGCAAGATACTCAGATAAGCCGCGCCGCCATCTTGGAAGGGGGCAAGACAGTTCAGCCTCGCTCTACAAAACCAGTTCCTCAGAACACACGTATTTCCAATTCACTAAACGTTTCTACTTTAGAAAACCCCGGCGCCTGTCGTACTGTTTCCTAGGCATAATTAGCATGCCTCAGTGGTTCGCCCTGATCCAAAATGACATCCACTCGCCTCAGTGAGACGTTCCTCTCATCTCCTTAGTTACTGGAAAGCGAGAACGATGACGTGCGGCCCGGAAGAAGAAGCGGCGCCGCGCGATGGAAACTGAAGCTGGCCGGAAGGAGGTGTCAGCGTGCGGGATGGGGCGGGGCGAATATAGGGGCACTGGGTGTTAAGACTCCTGTACACACCTGTGTCGGGGCAGGTCTCTGGGTCTAGTTAAGGTTCATCGTAAGTTGCACCGGTGTGGTTCTGTTCCATCACGTTACAAAGTTTCTTCCTCTCTATGTCTGGTGGCTCGCGCTTTCTGCGGAGACTGGCACTAGCGCACAGTTCCGCTCTACTTGTCTATTCCTGTCATCCTTCTATGAGAAGGTGAATAACAGAGCTATCATATTCAAGCACTTTAGGAGATTAAAAAAACCTTATAGCGACATAGAGTGCAACTTATACGACCACCACAACCGTTTTACGCCTTCTTTTAAGTGGCAAAAATTAGCACATTTATTAATCTGACCCAGAGATATATAGTCTCTTTGTAGCATATAAAAATAAGCAAAACTAAATGAATTTAAAATTATACTTAGAACATATCTAGGCATCCAAGAATTACGATTAATTAGCTCAGTTTAATATTAGTAGAATTTTAAATTACATATCATAGAAATTCGTTTAAGTCCATGTATTATGAAACATAATTACTATTGATATAAAAAGTTTGTTAGAATACTTAGTTTTGTTGAACAAATTTAGTTTTTTCATATTCTTAAAACATGTAAGAGTAATGTTAGGTCGTTTCAACATTACATGTGTATAAATTTAGGAAATTCAAATTAATTTTCCTCTCATTAAGGAAAAATCACAATTAAAATACACTCTTGTGTATTATACTTTACACTGAGAAAAGACATAGAAGCTGTTTTTTTTTTTAACCAAACATTGAAATATCATTTGGCAAAAATTTGCTTTGATGATTTGAACCTGGATTCTTTCTGTACTAGAAATTTCTGTAGTAAGGATTAAAAAAAAAAAAAAACTAGCAAATTTAAATTATGACATTTAATTTCCTTATTTTCTGGGAGTTTTAGGAAGAAATGATTTATATAAGTGTGTATTTCTCTCCATAAGCCAATCAGACAGATCTCCTCTAAGAGATATACTAACCTAATTTCATCTTCTACACCAACATGATTTACCTGGCTTTGTCAGGTGAATCCATTGGGATGCTGGTGAAATCTCCAAAATTGTTAGCTTCAAAATGGTAAAATTATGGCCCTCTTACAAATATAAAATGAACATGTGTCAACAGTTCTACATAACTCATTATTAATAAGGGAACCAGTAAGGATATTCAAACTAGTTCAAAGAAAAATTTGATTTATAGAGACACGTTCTCTACCACACAAAATTAATTTGCATTGCTGTGGACAGGAGCTATTTGTATTGTTATGGGTGAGAAACATTTGTATTATTATCCAATTTCCAAAAATTAATTGCTATCTCTACAGCATTGTTAAAGAGTTTAGTCAAGGATAAAGGCACACAGCCCTTGTGATCAGATGACTCCAGAGTTTCCTTTAAAAACTGCCCAGCATTCCACAGAAAGTTCACCCCGTAAATTCTTTTGAGTATTTCAAAATCTTTCACAGTTTTCCTGAAATACGATTTCTCATCTATAATCTACATTCTACATTTCTGGCTTATATTTCTCTAACATCAGATTCATATATTCAACAACCTGCTGGATATCTCTGGGTATTCTTGGGCATCTCAATATCGTTATGTTCTAAACTGAATTTACATTTCCCCTTGCCCCTAAACTAACCTTTTGCCTCTTGTACTTTGTTTCACTTAGAGATAAAATCCTTCTCCCACTTAGTCTGGAAACTAGAGAGTTATCCTTGGCCCCTCCTTCTCTTGACGTGGTTCAGGACACACTGCCTGAAAATATGATACCTTGACATATTGAATAACCTGAAGGACTACTCTCTGACCTTCCCTCTCTCCCCTAAAGCAGGTCCTAAGACTTTCGTGTGGAAAGTGCCCACCCTTTACCAGGAGGAAAGGAGCATTCTTACCTCTGAAGATGAATTGGAATGAACAGTCCTTGCTAAATTTCCCAGAGTTTACTATCCATACTGCTCATATTCTTTTGTCCTATCACATTTCCCCGTGATTTTTCACTCTTTTTTTTCAAATCTAGCATGAAACAATCAGGTTTAACTGCTTCTTTGGGTCTTCACTTCCTTATGAAGTCTCTCATGTCATGTAAAACTTAAGTAAATTTGTATTTTCCCCCCTACATTTATAACCCCCTAACCCTATTGATCTGTTATTCTAAATATTTCTTAATTCTATTTATCTACTTAGTTTAAATTCTCATCCCCTCTCATTGGATTACTGTCACAGCCTCCCAAATGATCTCTTTGCACGAATTTTGCAAAGAGATCACATTGGTTGCCAGATTTTTCAAAATCACACATCTGATTCTGACATTCTCTTGTTTAAAATTCTACATAGTTTTCGCAGAACGCACAGGATAAAGTAGAGGCCGCTTATTGTGGTGCTCAAGGGGATCTATGATTTCCACACATTTCTACAGCACTGAACCAATTGTTTTTCCAAGCCCCACTGTGCTGTTTCTCCTCTGTGCCCTTTTGCATGCCCTCCTTTCTGCTAAGAACAACCTCTTTACCTCTCTTCCTTTACCAATTAATTCCCATGTGTGCTTCAAGACTCTTACGAAGCCTTTCTTTTATTTCCCTTTCTTCTCATAATGGTTAAAAAATAATATGTGAAAGAAATGGAAAAGTAGAAGAGGGGAGAATGCTTGAACAGTGAGTTTGAAGGGTTAGATACAAACTGCCTACAGAAGAGATCCTGACCTGAAAGGAAAAGTTCAGGCAGAAGAAGATTATTCAGAAAGAGGGCTTAGAGGAGAATGGTTGAATCCATTAGAAAGACTAAAATTTTCTCGGCAAGTTCTTGTGAAAAGCTCTTTCAATGTTATCAAATGATATACCAGATATAAATGCAAATTTTTAAAAATTTATAAAAATGTTGTTTTGAAACCAAGCTATTTCTCCTCTGATGATGACAAGCTCAGAAAATGCTTGTGTGATAGATAAAAAGTAGAAAAGAAAAAAAGGTGGATTTATGTGTAATTATATAATCTCTGCAATCATGTTTTTGTAAAGCTCTTTTTAGTTAAAGTATAGTTGACATACAATATTACATTATTTTCAGCTGTACAACATAGTGATTTGACATTTATATATCTTATGAAGTGATCACCATGAGATATCTAGTAACCATCTGTCACTGTACAAAGTTATCTGCAATCATTGTTGACATAAACAGTCTGAGAAAAGTGAGAGTTGAGGTCATTACCTTATTTTTCTCTTTCTAAAAAGAAGAGCTAATCACCCTATGAGTGAGAAGAAAGACAAATCTTAAAATGAACCTTAAGGAAGGGTAGATTCTTTTTCAGCCGACACTTCCTGTTAAGTTCCTGTTAAAGACAGTTCCTGTCATTGTTTCTTTGAACTAAAAACTACTAAGCAAACAACCACTTGGCT